TAGTAGTAGTAGTAGTGCTGCTGGTGCTGCTGCTAGTGGTGCTGGTGCTAGATGCTAGGTGCTCGGTGCTCGGTGCGTGGTGCTCAGTATTCGCAATGCGGGTGCGATTGCGAGCGCGAGTGCGAATGTGAGGATGCCCTGCAGTCTATCCATGTATAGTCATGCTGGTGGAGCTGGCATGTGTGGGAATCTTGTTTACTTGTTGTTGCTTGCAGACGGCAACGGTTCGAAGAAGCCATGATCGGCAGAAGCCCGCAACACGACCGGCAGGTCCTTGTCCTTGAGGCTAGAAGCTGTGCATAGAAGCGCCTCAGCACGTCGACATTCTGTTGTTGCGAAAGTTCGAGGTCGCGCCTTAGCCCATGGTCGTGTCAATTTGCTTAACCTCTTTCGTCGAAGGGTTTAACCTTCTGAAGGTTATGAGCGCCCAACCTACTACTGTCTACTACTGCGACCCCAGTGCTCGGGTATGGCGGCAAGCTGAGCCCCTCGTAGATCCGCGGCTAGCTAATTCGCCGATGGCAGGCCTAGCCCTAGAGGTCACGTCACACTGGTCCTGAAGCACCAGATAATCTGCGGAGCCGAATGTGGACAGCGATTTGTGGAGATGGGGACGTACTCGTACGAGGGTGCGGAGGGAATGCCTGGAGTGCATCGGGTAGCGCAGCTGACAGAGTTCTTGAGAACAACTACGACGAACACCCATGGGCGCGCTTCAGGGTCGGGTGTTGGAAGGTTTGGGTTTTATGGCAACCCAGGGGACACACCCAACAACAGCAGCACCAGATGCAAGCTCCGGTGCTTTCTCCGATAAGGAGGATTGGAGACTTGAACTTTTTTCCTCCCGAGAAGGATGCAGCAGCCACTACCTGGACATGATCGGGCTTGCATGATGCAGCAGCGACAACCAAGGAGAAGAAGGTCAGTCAACCGCTCTTCACCCCGTGAGCAAACGCAAAGGCTGACACAACTACCAAGGGAGGCGCCTCTGATTTACCCCCCCCCCAACGGAGTTCTACGTCATCCGAGCAGGTCCAGGCAGACGTCCAAAGACAGCTGGCTCAGTATGTTCGTCGGTACGAGGGGGAAGCTTACCGCCTACACGACCAAGTGCGACATGGAAACGGATCAGCTGTCATCTGCGCATGCAGTTCAACCGCCGCTACATGCAGGCGATCGGGCTAGCATGGTACAACCACCGCTACCTGGACGTGATCGGGCTAGCATGGTACAGCAGTCGATACCTGGAAGTGATCAGGCTAGCATGTCACAACCACCACTACGTACTACCTGGAGGTGATCGAGCTAGCATGTTACAACCACCGCTGCCGGGCGGTGATCGGGCTAGCATGGTACAGCAGCCGCTACCTGAAGGTGATCGGGCTGCCGCAGCCTCCTGAGGTGGTCGAGCAGTCGACCCAAGGAGACCGGAGTCAAGGGTTGGAACACCATGGGTTACCAACCGGAGATTGAGTTGTGGGAAGTTACCGAAGTCCGCTACATGAAGGGTGGAATACTGCGACTTACCACAAGCAGATCAGGAGTGGACAGAGAGACTTCAAGGTGGGCATCGACTACCAGACTCCGGACTTCAAGGCAGGCATCGGCTGCCAGAAGCAGGACTGCAAAGTGGGCACCGTAGTCCTCACGGGCCAGAAACTACTGAGCAGCAAGGCGGTCACGAACAGCAGGCCAGTGGAGGACAGGGTGGCAGTGAACAGAGAGAGCCGACTCAGATAGATCTCCTCCAGTGGCAATGACTGGAATGTGTCAGCTACAAGATGCTCAAACCAAGGAAGAGTCCGAGACGGTGAAACCAGGGGTTAGTTTGCCAATGTTGAAGGCTCCGGACCCCGATACGTCACCATTGGAGGTGCAGGACTGGCTTCAACTTCTTCAAGCACCATGGCCGACCTCAGCGACAGCTCCTTCGAGTGGTGGACACGGTTGCAAGAGTTGACATCTGAAGGATACCGGCAGTGGGCAAATGCATCGCCGACGGAAAGCCAGGTTGAACTCGAGAGCGGCGTCGATGCCTTTGAGCTCGCTTCATGATACGGTTCGTGCAGACCTCGTAGCTCGGAGAAGCACTCAGTCGGCGAGCCAGTCCGGTGCTCACGCTCTACCAGCCCAGCGGTGAAGCGGAAAAGAAGTGCAGACTCCTGTTGTGACAAGAGAAGATGCGTCCGCGGCAGCAAAGGCGCTAAGGTTTCGTCAGGCTTCGGATGTGGGAGTAGCAACACCTGGTGCTCGAGGGCTACCCGGAGGCGGCATTCAGAACGTCGTCGTTGGTTCGCAAATGTTCGCAACAACGACCAGCTCGATACGAACCCGACCGAGACCGCCGTCTTGTCCTTTCACAGGCACTTGTTGGCTGAGGCAGAAGCGTTGGCGACAGGCTCGGCGGCTACGACTACAACAACGGATGCAACCAAGCCCCTGTCGGAGAAGCCGTCGAAAATTCGTGGACGTCAAGCTCACGTTCAAGGAGGCCAGGAGTCGGACAAGAGCATGAGACCAAAGGCTCCTCCTCCAACAACCCCGACGACGCCGGCAAAAGCGGCTTGCCAAGTCGGATGATGGGTGTCGACGAGGAGCGGAGCCATGCGGAGCCGAGGACAAGGGCACGGAGCAGAGACCCACGAGGGCGAGAGATGCATCGGGGGCGAATCCGTCGCCCTCACCCGTGGCAACCAAGGCGATGAACCTTCGGCACCTACGCAATCACTCAACCTGCGGCTGTGGGATCAGATCAACCTGCGGCCGCGGGATCGCTGAATGACGGTGCTGAAGATGAGTAGTGAAGCGGAATCGGGCGGGATCAAGACATGCAGTCAACCGGCGTCGACAAATGAGGGGTGGGTTTACGATATGTGGTCAGACTGCATCGCCAAATGCGGGGGCGGGTGTATTAAGTTCTGTGGTCAAACTGCATAAAGGGGGTGGGTTGAAGATATGTGATCAACCGGGATCGCATAATGAACGGAGCGCGGGTTTAAGATATGTGATCAACCAGGATGGCCTTATGAGAGGGGATTCAAGATAAGTGATCAACAGGGATCGCATAATGAGGGGTCTCGCTGAAGACATGCAAGAACCTGGATCGTCACGGGAGGGGCCGAGTTTAAGGTATGTGACAAATCTGGATCGCCGAATGAACGGGCAGGTTTAGGATATGTGGTGAACCGGGATCGCCAAAGGAGGGGTTTGAGATATGTGATCAACCAGGATGGCCGAATGAGAGGTGGGTTTAAGCTATATACGTGTGTTGAATCTGGATCGTTTAAGATATGTGAAGAACCTGGATGGAGGGGGTGTTTAAGTTTCCTTTTGTGATCAGCCAGGATTGACTAATTTAATGTTATGGCGGGCTTAAGAATTATGATCAACCGGGACCGCCTAATGAGAGGGCATGCTTAAGATAAGTGGTGAAACATGATCGCCAAATGAGGGAGTGCATGGGTTTAAGAAATGTGATGAATCGGGATCACCAAAGGAGAACTCGGCGAGTTCATGATATGTGATCAACCTGGATCGCCACATGAAGGTGCATCGCCACATGAGCGAGTTGGAGGCCCAGGGTACCTCATATGGAATTACCCCAAGTATAACCCTACTTGTAACCGACTTACTAAGTCGCGTGGGCCTCTAAGAAAGGCTGGCGCTGGCGCTGGCGCTGGCGCTGTGCTGGTGCTGGCGCTGGGCTGGCTAGCATGGGGGCTGGCTGGCGCTGGCCCTGGCGGAATAAGGCTATAGTGAGTCCTTAAAGCTAGAAGCTGCGCACAGAAGCGCTTCAGCACATTGACATGCAGTTGTTGCGAAAATTCGAGAGCGTGCTTGGCCCATGGTCGTGTCAACCTGCTTAACCTCTTTGGTCGAAACCAGGTTGAGGAGACGAAGAACAAGGATGAATGAAGGGTTTAACCCTCTGCAGAGAGCGAGTGCGAGTGCTGGTGCCAGTGCTGGTGCTCGTGCTCGTGCTCGTGCTCGTGCTCGTGCTCGTGCTCGTGCTCGTGCTCGTGCTCGTGCTCGTGCTCGTGCTCGTGCTCGTGCTCGTGCTCGTGCTCGTGCTAGCAGTAGTAGTAGTAGTAGTAGTAGTAGCAGCAGCAGCAGCAGGAGTAGTAGTAGTAGTAGTAGTAGTAGTAGTAATGGTGGTAGTAGTAGCTATGCGCCTCCAGGCGCCTGGTGTTAACCTTGCTTCTTTAGCCGTTTTACTCGGTATTTACAGTACTTTCGTGATGGCGGGGGGGGGGGGGGGGGGTGGGGGGGGTGATGACGACATTGGTACGCAGACACCCCGAA